ATTGGACTCCCACGTAGTCGACCAGATTCGCGTCCCGGACCCGGTGGCTTAAAACTCACACTGGGCACGTGTGCATGCGTGCCCAAGATCCTCAGAGGAGAATGGAGGAGAAGGGATTGAGGCGTGGCCATCCCCCCTGGGGGATGATTTCTCACTTTCTGTCTCTCTGTCTCTCTTTGTCTGGCAAGTGCCCGTGCCCTGTAGCCAAAAAACCTCTAAAAAACAACCAACCAACCAACCCCCCCCCCCGCCCCCCGCAGTTTATAAAAAATAAATGCTGCCCTGTTTTTAGTGGACTTTGGGAGTCTAGATTTGCTCATCTTCTTCCTTGTCTATTACAGTAGTTCTTAGGGCACCACCAAGTGGCGTCATTAGAGCGCCTTAGGAAGTTCTTTGAAAATTACTGAACTAATGACCTGGATTTCTTCCTGTAAAATTCACACCAATTGAATATATGAGGCTTCATTATCTCCAACTGTGAGGAATCACTCTATTCTGAGGCTCCCCTGTTTCCTTGTTGGACTGCCTCTAGATTAAGATTCATTATCATATTAAGCCAAGTTCTTCTTTTTTAAAAGAATTATTTAATTTTATTTGTTATTATTAGTTATTTTTGAAATTTAACCAGAGACAGACAGAAAGAGAGAGAGGGAGAGACAGGAAAAATGAGAAAGCAAGCCACCAGGTCCAGGACTTGAACTACAGTTCTCCATGTGGGAGTTGAGCATCTTAACCACCACACCACCTGCCAGCCCCAAGCTGAGATCTTCTCCCTTTAGTCTTAGGACTATCCTCTAGTACTTAAAAAAAACAAGTCTAAATTTCCTTCCACAGGAGAAACTTAATTTTCTGAAGGTCACTATTGTAGTGCTTCTTTTGTCCTACTTCTTTCACCTTTGCTTTTTTTCCTCTCTTTTTAAATATTGATTATATTAACAACATAACAATATATTGTAGAAGATATAATTATCATCATTAAAGTGTCATATAACACTGTTAGAATTTGCTTTTTTATATATTTAAAATTCCACCAAAAATATAAATAACAATATGAAAACATCCATTTTCTTACTACCTAAGCAACAATATCTAATGTACAAGAGATCTTCAAGGAGTTTATGGAACATGCATATTATAAAAACTACACATGAATTAACAAAATTCTTTGCACCAAAATAAATTAGAACTTTAATTCCACTTTTCCTTAAACTTTTTGGACTACATTGTATTATCATGCTTGGTTTTAAAGTTTTTTTTCCTTTTTTTAACATTTAGTTATTGTACATCTTTTCAATATACAAAGTGAACTTTCCCAGCATGAATACACTGTATTTCAGTCCAAAGATATTACTCTACACATTATCAACAGATAATTTTCCATTTTTGTGCCTACTAGACATTTTGCTTTTTTTCCCCCTTGATTCCTTTCCTCCTGTCCCTCCCACTGCCCACCCTTCTCCACATAGTCTCTGGTAACCACACTTATTCTCCATGCTTTTGTACCTTCCAGTCTCTCAGTTTCTGTCATAGAGTGCAGTCATAGTATATACTAAGTGTGGACATACGATGTTGATTATAGGGTATGAAAATGTTTGATTTTGTTAGATACTGTCAAAATATTTTCCAATGTGGTTGTGTTGATGTCACTCCTTTTTTCTTTTTTAATAGATTTTTGCTACAGGGCGCGTGCGCTAGCCACAAAAACAGAGAGACAGAAAGCGAGAAATCACCCCCCGGGGGATGGCCACACCACAATCCCTTCTCCTCCATTCTCCTCTTGGGATCTTGGGCACTCACACACATGTGCCCAGCATGAGTTTCAGCCACCAGGTCCAGGACTCAAACCGTGGTCGACTACATGGGAGTTCAGCGATACAGCCTATTACGCTGTTGATCCCTGGTGAGGTCACTCCTATGAGTAGTGTAAATTGATAATTCTCCCTACATTCTCACCAATATTTGATGTTGTCTAATAGATTTTGCCATTGGGCTAGACGAAAAATGGAATTTTTTGACATTTCTTTTAATTTGAATATTCCAACTATCAATATGGTTCAAATTTTTCACATATTTAATGACTATTTTATTTCACATATTTAGATTTTATTTTTATATATTGCCTGTTTATATACCTTGCCCATTTTTTCTATTAGGCTTTTGATCTTTATTTTAAATTGATATTTCCGATTTACATGTAATAATTACACATCTTTCTGAGATACAATATGGTTTTTCAAAGCATGCATACAGTGTAATATTAAAATCAAGGGTATAGACATATGCATCTTATTCAAAATTAAACATTACATTATATTGTGTGTATTCAATAATAGTTCTAGTAATTTTTTTCAGGGAAGTATATATTGAATTATTGACATTTTTTACTCTGCTGTAATACATCATTTCATAACCTTAACACCTAAGTTTAAGAAATAAGATATAACCATCAGGATAGGCTAGATTATGCAATTACTATAAACGGCCACAAAAATAATAGCTTTTAATTCAACATGCTTAATTCTTGGTCATCCTATATTCTACACTTTGGATAATGTTTTGTCTTCCAAAGTTTCAGGTTTTGGAATTTGACGTTGAGAGTTGGTGAGGTCTAATGGATGGTAATTGATAATGGTGATTGCATCACAGAGGCATGACTCAGTGACTTCTATTTCTCATGAGAGGAATTCAGTTATGAGAGCTAGTTGCTGTAAAAGAGAGGGAGCGTCTGGCAAGTGTCTTACTTTCTGTACACACTTGTCATTCTCTGCACTTCTGTTGGCTATGCTGTAAGCTTTCTATCATTTCCTGCTTCTTGTGGGCTGCCCAGCCACTAGAATTGTGAGCAAAAATAATCCTTATTTTCTTAAATTCACCCAGTCTCAAATATTTATGTTAGTATGCAAAAATGGACTAATACACTATATGTCCAATATGGCCTTCTGGAGGATGAGAAAAAATATTATAGTAGTCATCCTCACTCCAAGACCCTGACAGCGGTTTGGATACTAGGACTTTTAGTAAAAACAAACAGTATATCCCACTTAAAGTGAGAAAAATTGGAAGTGAGTAAATTTTGAGCTCCACCCAGGGCAATTATCCCCTCCCTTCTGTAACTGCCAATTTCCTCCCCAGTCCCAAGAGCTGTTCTACTCAGTTCCGCAGTCAGCGCCAAGTTTGTGTTTGTGACGGCCTCACATGACGCAGCCACCGCGAGCGGCGAGGATAGGCTTAAGGTCTTAACAGCCTCTCCCGGGGACTTGGCAGCCGGGCACAGTGCCACGTGGAAGACACTTTTTCCCCCGGTGGCCACAGACCTGAAGACCGACAGAGGGTGGAGCAAACTTTTAGGGAGGGTCCCTCTGACCCGTGTACCCTTCCGCTTGCTTCTCCCTGATTGGCTGGTGTGTGTCTCCGCTGCCCAATCACGCAGGACCTTCCTCCGCGCCTCTGGGCGACGCTACCGCGCATGCCCACTCGGGGATCCACCCCTGGGCTTCAACCTTCCCGAGCGCTGGCGTAGGGCACCGGGCAGGGGACGGTGGGAGTGAAGCGTGGTAGTGTTGGTGCCAAGGTCGTAGGGCTTCGCTGGGACCCGGACAGGCCCAGTGGGAGGGCGAAAGGAAAAAGAAACACGCAACTGGCCGTTTCCCCCATGTCCCCTAAGTGTAGGCTTTCTTGGTGTGGGGATTCACTTTCATTATGGTGTCCGACCTGGACAATCCCATCTGCCCGTGGGGACTGGAGAAAACCCAGGCTGTGTTCTTTCCTTAAGGCGAATCCAGCGAGTCTTTGTAAGATAAAGTAAACTTTCTCCAATGCTGAATGGGGTGGGGACATCTCTAGATTTTACTGCCAGGACCCGGCCTGTTCAGCGCCCTACTGGGAACGCCCTCTTTCCACCGGCCCGTCCGTCCTAAGGGAAGCGTTATCCTGCCCTCTCTGCGGTGACCGCCTGTGGGCGCTGGAGACACGGGCGTTACTTTCTGATCCACAAAAGAACCTCCCCACCAGTTTCCAAGGTGTGCGACTCAAAAAAGTGGCCAAACAACAACAAAAACTGAAGCCTTCGGCGGGAAGGCTAAGTGTCCGTAGTCCTCGCTAATAAACTGTCCTCAGCCCCGCGGGCCGCCCTGCCCTCTCTGCGGTGACCGCCTGTGGGCGCTGGAGACACGGGCGTTACTTTCTGATCCACAAAAGAACCTCCCCACCAGTTTCCAAGGTGTGCGACTCAAAAAAGTGGCCAAACAACAACAAAAACTGAAGCCTTCGGCGGGAAGGCTAAGTGTCCGTAGTCCTCGCTAATAAACTGTCCTCAGCCCCGCGGGCCGCCGGCCGACCACCGCCCCCGGCA